AAAATATTACGAGAACAGCCCGGATTCGAGGTAATTGAAGTTTATGCGCTTTTTCACTTTGGGCAGGATATATTCGAGATTTTCCGAGATCTTCAAGCCTTTGCCAATTTGGGTGACCACCTGGGTTAGGGTAATGCGCTCCTTTTCTGCTTTCAATTTGTAGACCTTTCTTGAGATATATGGGCATAACGATTCTCGTTAATTGTTTTAGTATCCTGTGAATCCTATAACTATCTTATTCCTGGGTATGAGACGAATTTGTATGCTAGGTCGCAGTCGCGCGCGCGATAACGCCCGCGAAAAGTTTCCAGACCCAGCTACTGCATTTTTTTTTCTTTTTTTGCATATCATATGTTTTTTATTTGCTTATTTTTTTAATTATTGGATCATCCACATTGGAAAGAACAATTAAAATGCGTGAACAGAAAGCGAGAAAATGACCTTCGCGGTGTTCGAAGGGAAGGTGTATCCTATACAGGGCTGTTCTTTAATCTGAGCCAGTAGGGTTTCTACAGTAGTTATAGGTGTTTCACATAAGGAGAACCTAGAATTTCTGTGCTTCGATCAAGATTTTGACCAGATTTCGGAAAACATTTTTTCTCATTTTTCTCAGCACCGTTACATTTCATTGGAAAAAAAGCAATGAAGTTGGTTTCCACGATTTTTTTTGTGACATTGAAACTGCGAAGACGACCATGATCTGTGCTGCAGGTGATCGACTGTGACAAATTAGCCCACAAGTGCTATGAACCAGGAAGCGAACTCATTGAGGAGATCGACAAGCATTTCGAAGGTGTGGTCAAAGATGGAGTTGTTGACAGGAAAGCTTTAGGAAAACTCGTTTTTGGTAACGAAGTAAGTCGCACTGATGTTGATGTTGTTGTTGTTGCTTGTGTCTATTCGCCTTCATAGTCTCTGGTTTTCAGGAAAAACTTCGAACATTGTCCGGATTAGTATGGCCAGTTTTGTTGAAGAAAGTCGAAGCGATTATTGCAGCTTCAAAAAGTGAAGTTATTGGTACGTTCCAGTGTTAATTTTGATGAAACATTGCAATACTTGTGCAATTTCTTCGGCGGGAGGACATCTCCGGATGATTCCGGGTTAAACATGGCGCAACATTAAGATTCAAAAAATAGCAGCATTGCTGGATCTTTTTTCGAATGAGCGTTACTTGCCGCATCCCGACTTAAGGGGCGTTCTGTACTTCGCTAGTCCCCTTCGTTACTTCATGTCACATAGAAGGCCTCACTCTGTTCGGCTTTGTGAACTTCTATGAAGCTGCGAAAATATTCAAGCATTTTGGTCAAGGGAATTTACAGGTGTACACCATGTGCCTTGTACAACCTGTGCTTTGTAGCATTTGATGCCCCCACCAAGCGCCGGACTGTGCCTAATTGTTTTTGGGATTAGCCACCATCATCATCAAACCTTGGAGCCTTTCTCAGTTGCACTTGACATACGGATCTAGGATGTATGTCATAATACTCACAGACAAGTGACCTTGATAAACTGACCCAGAGCGATGGTAGCTTAATTGTCGTCGGCCTGGGACACGAATCTTGATGCTACCTGCGGCGGAGGGCGCGGCGCCTAAGGTAAGCGGCCCCACTCACCACTACGAGCCAGGCCTCCGTCAGGGATGCAATGTAGGTAAAAAAGTTAGTAGTGCAATGTGGTGTTGGCGGGGATGGGGGCTGCAAGGTCAGAATAGATTTACGTGATAGAGGCTGGCTGCCTCAGTTTGTGGAAGCGCAATGGCCAGTTTGTATATGGAGATGAGGTTTTGGACATTCTATTTGTACCACACGAAAGAAACGGTGGCGCGATAGGGACGAGAGATGGACTACCCGAAAAACAGGTCGTTCACACAAATCACGAGTTAAGAATTCCCAGTAGGTCGATTTGGGTGCACCGCTCTGGAGATGCCGGTCGTTTGGTGTCTCTGCCCGGAAGACTGGCGCAGGACAGAGAATCCCTGCAGGCATGCGCTGCACACGTTACGTTGAAGCAGTCGGGTGGCGGCTAAGCTCGTTCGTAGAGATAAATTTCAGTTTGGGGCAGTGGCGCGGTGCTGTCTGGTCCAGGCACAGACAGGCACTGGAGCAGGGCTTAAATTGCAATATGCCTGCAAGTAAAGCCCATCCAACGCGCGCGTGTTGAAAATAGCAAACTCCGTCTCAGCGATCAGGTGGGTAGTAGCTAGTTGTTGTTCTAGTTAGTTGACTCGGCATGCTAAAACACTCCCGCGTCAGATCATTCAGGTTCTTCGCGATCGTCGACGCCATTTGCAAAGGAGCCCGTGGTTCTCCTAACCGACATCTTATTTGTTCCGTACAGCGCTGTAAACTGCGCATTTCCCCTCTAAAATTGGGATACTTGGATTCTCTTTTCCTGAATATTCAGTAAAGTAAAGAAAGACTCATCTGGGAAGTTAACCCCACTAAAATTATTGGTTGTCGGGAATGAATGCTAACTGTGAGCACACCAACCACTTGACTTTGGGTACGTGACAAGAGAATCGTAATTCGCCGCGCTGGTGGGCGTCGCGTGCGACGTCGCGCCCACAAATGATGGTTTCACTCGTGGAGCGACAACAGGCAATGTAGAACCAATCGTCATGAATGTCTACAGTTTCTTGGCCCACGTGAAATCCGGTGCTCCAGTCGACAGGCTAACACGAATTAAGAAAACGCCGCGCCCATCGCCGCGCGCGGCGGAGCGGCAAATTACGATTCTCTTGCCCGTCTCCCCTTGACTTTAGCGAACTTATTGGCAAGATGAATCCATTTCCATGGATGACGGTCAGGAGATTCAAGTTGCGTTCCAAGTGGAATCACGTGCGTGACATTCGCACCAGGAGCAAGTGGATCTGAGGTGAAAGTGCTATAGCAAGTCGGTAAAACTAGCCAGGAAATACTAGGAAGTTTGTGCGTGTCGATGCGACTCACTGTTTTTGCATGTTGAGTCAACCAGCTAGGAGATACTAGCTAGTTTGGGCGTGTCGCCCGACGTGGACCTCCCGACTAGTGTATCTACCTATATTTTGTTGGCCTCAGATCCACTATTTCAGGCCGAGGTTCGAATAAAGAGTCAGATTACGAACAAAGAACGTATTGATCACAGCAATGTGGTGTTCTGCTCGTTATGGGCATATGAAGAAACTCGTGCCCAAGTTGAACGTGCTGTTGAGGACCTACAGTCACGTCTTTCAGATTCATCTTAGATGTATTTATAAAAGTGATGGGCGCTGTTTGGCCTGGGAGGGGCATTATGCACATTCGCTAGTTCGTTTTGCTAGTTCATGTAAACTAAGTATACTCTTGTGAAGCTACGAAACGGTTCAAGTAAGCCACTCGATCA